TAAGCAAAAAAGCAGAGGAGGATGCCCTGGCTGTTGGTCAACTTCTGGAGGCCAAGTTCAATAGAATTTCCTTCTTTCATGTGGAAAAGGAGAAAGCAGGTCTAGTTGATGAAGTTTTCAAGGACTTTGACTCAAGAAAGTATGTTTTGAAGGAGATCATGGAGGCTCTAGTAACTCCAAGCATCAACAAGATTGGGGTGTACGGGATGCCTGGCGTGGGGAAGACATTGCTGGCTGGAGAAGTTAAAAGAAAAGCAGAGCAAGAGAAGTTGTTTGATGCAGTTGTTATTGCTAAAGTGACAAAGAATCCAGACTTGAAAAGTATTCAACAAGAAATTCAACGAGGCTTGGGTTTAGAGCTTCCTGATGGGATTCCAGAGTGGAGCGCCGCTGCTCGAATAAAGGCAATACTGACAAAAAAGCAGAAGGTCCTAGTAATTTTCGATGATTTATGGGGACGAGTAACTTTGGAGGATGTGGGAATCCCCTTATCTGCAAATAAGCAAAAGCAACCTGTAGGGGAAAAGGATGATGAAAGCTCAGCTGAACAACAAATTTTAGTATGTAAGGTTTTGTTGACCTCCAGAGATCACTCTGTTTTATCAGGTGATATGGGTACTGAAAAAGAATTTCTAGTTGGTCAATTAGAAGATAATGAATCATGGGAGCTATTTAAGAAGATAGTTGGCAAGGATGTTGAAAGGCAGGAGTTGCAGCAGATTGGAAGGGAGATTGCAAAAGAAAGTAGAGGATTGCCGATTGCTGTTGCAACAATTGCAAATGCTTTGAAAAATAAGAGTGTACATGATTGGAAGGATGCTCTGCTGGAATTGAAAAGACCTTCTCCGGATGGGAAATCTGCAAAATTGTTTTCAGCTGTAGAGTTCAGTTTCAAGCACTTAGAAAGAGAAGAACTCAAGCAAACATTCTTGATGTGTAGTTTGCTAAGCCAGAATGCTTCAATTGAAGAGTTGGTTAAATATGGTGTGGGTTTGGGTTTATTTCTAAATGTCCGCACAATAGAAGAAACACGAAACAGAGTATTGTCATTGGTTGATCATCTCAAAGCGTCTTCTCTGTTGGTAGATGGTCGTAGCAAAATGTATTTTGACATGCATGACCTCATTCGGGATGTTGCTAAGTCAATGGCTTCTAGGAACTATGGTGTGTTTACTACGAGAGATGAAGACATGCAGGAAGATTGGCCAGACAAAGAGGTAATGACAGATTTGAAATGGATTTTTTTATCCAATGGAGATGCTTGCGGTGGTCTGCTTCCAGATAAGTTCAAATGCCCCAAGCTTACTTTCTTTCATTTGTCCAACTACTCTCTAGCAATTCCTGCAAATTTTTTTTCAGGGATTGAAAAACTCAGAGTCTTGGGTTTGACAAAGATGAATTTATCCCCCTTGCCTGTGTCTATTACCCTCCTAACGGACCTTCGCACGTTGCGTTTTGATCAAAGTGTGCTAGGAGACGAAGACATAGGTGCCATCATAGGAAAGCTGAAGAATTTGCAAGTCCTCAGCCTTGCAGGATGTGAAATTGAAGAGCTGCCAAAAGAAGTAGGGAGTTTGACCGAGCTAAAGTTGTTAGATTTGAGTGACTGCACAAAATTGAAAGTAATTCCACAAGAAGTCTTTGCAAGTTTGTCCAAACTACAAGAGCTAAAAATGGGAAACAGCTTTTACCAGTGGGATGTCATGGAGCATGGGAGGCAAAGAAATGCTAGCCTTGCTGAGTTGACACAGTTACCTAGACTAACAGCTTTAGAGTTACGTGTCCTTGATGTTCAAACGATCCCTGGAAAACTAGAAAGATACAAGATATTGATCGGTGATGTGTGGAACAACTGGAATAGTTCGTTTGATAGCCCAAAAGTATTGAAGCTGCAGATGAAGGCACACATAAGATTCGACAATTCAATTAAACGGTTGTTGAAGATGACTGAAGAGCTACATCTAGAGGAGTTGAATGGCGTAAAGAATGTGGTTGATGAGTTAGATATTAAAGGTTTTCCAGATCTAAAGTATCTCTATATTCGTAATGCTCCAGAGCTTCATCAAATTGTTAACTTAAGGGGATGGGGTCCTTTCAATGCATTTCCCAACTTGGAAGTATTGTTTCTTCGTAATTTAATTAAATTGGAGAAGTTATTTCAAGCCAGGTTCAAAGATACGGCTTTTAGCAAATTAAGAA